CGGCGTCAAAGGTCACCAGGGGTTCCGCCCTGTTCCACTGGGCGCGGGTCGATTCATATTTGCCCAGATGTTTCAGCACGACGATGCTCTTGCCGGCCGTGAAGATCTTGGCGGCGCTGGGCTCTAGAAAGTTGGGCACATGCAGCTTGCCTGTCGGACGTGCGCCTCAGCTTGAACTGCTCCTGCCAGAATTGGTTCAGGGGTACCTGAGAGACCGAGTCGGCGACGAAGAAGATTTTGTCGGCCGGCAGCAGCTTTCCCTCGTGCATCCAGAGCCGGATGGGGCGCAGGTACATCTGGAAGCACTCGAAGAACATGCGGCCCAGAAACTCGTACGTGCCGTTCTGGCCGGCGGCCTGCGCGGCGCCGACTTGCTCGTAGAGCAGCTCGAGGTATCGAAAGGCGCCGACCTGGGACCCCTCCTCGAGCTGGCGCACAATGTCGGACAGCGCATTGAGGGGCTCGAGGTGCGGGCCGAGCTCGCGCTGTAGGGCGATGGAGCTCACGACGGTGTCTCTCGGCGGGGCGATCAGGCCATGCTGGATCCGTGACAGTTCCTTGTCAAACGACTGCAGGCTCGTCATGACATTGGCGTGAAAGACCTGCAGCAGCGGCATCGTCTGCCTGCGGCTCGCAAAGGACCGCAGCACGGCGAGGCGGCGTCCCGCTTCGGCGAACCAGCCGACGAGGGCCTTGCACGTGTCCCACGCCATGCTGGCCACCTGGTACGCGGGGTCCGGCTGGCCGTGCCTCTGAAAGAGTGATGTCTCCAGTCCCTGGAGCATGAACAGTGCCTCTCTGATCATGTGAAACTCGGACACAGCCATCTTGCGCGACGGCCCTGCCGAGGGCTGCTGGTGGCCGTCTGGCAGGCGCCACGACTGGCTCTGCTGCACGGCCTGCAGGGCAGCATCCTGCCGCGTCTCGACCTGGAAATCCTCGGGCCGCCGTCCGACGAGCGCGTCAGAGGCCGAAACGGACGTGTCGTCCGAGTCGTGGCCCGCGGCGGACTTGTCGTCCTCATAGCCCTCGTCGTCGGAGCTGTCGCGAAAGTCGACGGACCGCCACAGATCCGGCTCGCGATGCCACCCGTCCTCCCTGGCAATGTCCTCCCACGTGAGCGGCGGGCCGGCCCCTTCTTTCGGCCGGCGCAGGCGCGCGAGGGCCTGGAGGTCCGTCTTCTGCGCGGGCTGGTCGGCGATGTCGAGGAGAAAGTGGAGGATGTCGGGGGCCCATTTCGTGCGCAGCGGGGCGAAGGCGTCGAGGCTCTGGCGCAGGGCGAGGGCGAGGCCGTCGCGGTGGTGGACGCTGAAGCGCTCCTCGAGGCCGGCGAGGCGGCTCTCGACGTCGAACTGGTTCGTGCGGAGAAAGGTGTGGTGCCGCAGGGTGCGGGTGGCGGCGTCGCGGCAGCGGGCGAAGCGATGGGGTGCGTTCTGTTTGTTGGCAGGGGCTGGGTCAGTGGTTATGGCTCTCTCGGCGCAGGGGGCAGGTTGGTTGCAGACCTTGCTCGACGTGGAGGTGACGAGCTCGACGAGCTCCTCGGTCAGGGCGCCGAGCTGGGCGGCGTGAGCCATGGTGCGCTCATCGATCGGGTGGTGGGCGGGGCTGGAGGTGTGATGGAGCTGGAGGTGTGATGGAGCTGGAGGTGTGATGGAGCTGTAGATGTGATGGAGCTGTAGATGTGATGGGAGCTGGTGAGGTGCGACGCGGTGAACGGTGAAAGCGTCGACGGTTGACGCGACGATGTGGGGTGTTTGGTGGGGTTGTTCGACCGGCAGGTGGGGGTCGTCTTTGGGGGTTTGGGGGCTTCGGGGTCTTGGCGAATAAGCTTCCAGGGGCCGGGTCAATTGGCTTTTTTGTTCTGGTGAGACGGCTTTGTGCTTGGGTTGATCGAGCGAGACGGTCTTTGAAATGGTGAGACTAATGAGTGGGTATAAGACCTCGAAGGAGCCCATCGTCTTGGGAGCATCAGTGCAACGGACTTGGAGTCTTGGGGGAGTTGACTGGAGAGGAAACAAGCTTTAGGATGCGTGGGCTTCACATGGCGTGGTAAAGAGGGGTTATATGGACTGCGCAGACGCCTTGCTCAACCCAGTATACCTAGGTAGCCAAAAACAGATTGTAGCGACAGAGTATTCTCGCGCTGCAGCATAGTCGTATAATACCTTGTCTAATTAAGTACCTAAATGTATAGCATCGTCGTGGCCAAGCCGAGGCTCATTATCCAAGGCCTGGACAACCTACAAAACTCGTGACATGTGTCGATGCCAATCGATGAGGGAGGCGGCGGCGAGTTGTGCCCTTCTGCGCATATATCATTCGCCTACCACGCTATTGACTCACACCTCCTAATTTAGTTGTCATGTTCAACGGACCAGCCTTGGTGGAGGATCGAGACTGGAGATGTCTACCTTATTGATCCTTCGAGGGGACTGGTTTTTATTCCTGCACCCTGCACCCTGCACCCAGCATCAACCACAGCCTGCATCTCGTCTCCAGAGCCTGGCAGGAAGGCCAGCACGGGTTCATGTCAATAAATGGCCGACCTCGAAACACGCAGCGTTGCTGGAGTATCCGCTGCTGATAGGCTCGGTCGAGGCATTCGAAGAGGTATCGAAGGGATTATGCGTCCACGATTTTGCTGATCAGTTTATTGCGCGTGTGATGATCCATATCTTGAGCTCATTTCGTGACTGAAGGTAGGTACCTTAGGTAGGATCGAGGATCAAGGTAGGCCCACCACCCTAAAACGGTAGCGCAGGGAAAACGGACCCCGACGGCAGCGCAGATAACGTGGCCAACCCCTGGCCTCAGAGCCTCATCCATTGGCCGTTACGACGTAGAACCCCCCATTGCCCCCCCATTGCCCCCCCACGAGGCCCCGATCCACCGTGACGTGCCCATTTTGGCTGCATGGCCCTGGACCGCGTAATTCCACCTCGAAGCAACACCATCATCTCCTTTCTTGTACATGAATTTGCAGTCCGACTTGTCCCCTCCACACCCCCTTTACGACGACCTGCGACGATTTGCGACGACGACAATTGACTGCATCCGACAAAGCCGCATAAATGGCCGCCTGAGCGACGAAGAACCTCCGGCGACACGAATACCCCCTGGCTCGCCGTTCGCCTGCCACCAGCTGGCGCAACATCCGACGCGAATTCTGTCAAGAGAAAAAGAGCCAAGAGAGAAAGAGCCAAGAGAGAAAGAGACAAGAGAGAAAGAGACACTGCCGCCCATCATGGCCATGGCACGGCCCATACGGGCCTTGGTTGTCGTGTCCGTCATGCTGTGGTGCTTCTTCATCTACCTCATCTTGGGACCCCAAAAGGAAATCCACCTGCCAGAGCGCTACAGCCATGAGCGCGATCCCAACCTAGACCGTGAGCGCGAGCCCGCCATGATGTCCCCATCCCACGACGACGACGACGACGACGCCGCGCGGCGGCAAGCTGACTTTTCTCATCTGCAGTGACTGGCGAACCCGAGGGCACCCTGACCTACGCCTCGGAAGCCTACGCGCCCGGCATCGAGAACTCGGCACGCATCAACGCGACGCTGCTGGCCCTGGTCAGGAACGAGGAGCTCCCCGGCATGCTGTCGTCGATGCGCGACCTCGAGCGCACCTGGAACCACAAGTTCAACTACCCGTGGACCTTCTTCAACGACGTCCCCTTCACCGACGAGTTCAAGCGCCGCACCGCCGCCGCCACCAAGGCCGAGGTCCGCTACGAGGTCATCCCCAAGGAGCACTGGGACATGCCGTCGTGGATCAACAAGGACCTCTACCACGAGTCGACCAAGATGCTCAAGGAGAACGGCATCCAGTACGCCGACAAGGTCTCCTACCACTCCATGTGCCGCTGGAACAGCGGCATGTTCTACAAGCACCCGGCCCTCGCCACGACGCGCTACTACTGGCGCGTCGAGCCCAAGGTGCACTTCTTCTGCGATGTCGACTACGACGTCTTCCGCTACATGCACGACAACAACAAGACGTACGGCTTCACCATCAACCTCTACGACGCCCCCAAGTCCATCCCCTCGCTGTGGCCCGAGACGATGAAGTTCCTCGCCCAGAACCCCTCCTACCTGCACCAGAACAACGCCCTGCACTGGCTGACCGACCGCCTGCGCCGCCCCGAGCACACCAAGGAGGCCAACGGCTACTCGACCTGCCACTTCTGGAGCAACTTTGAGATTGGCGACATGGACTTTTGGCGCAGCAAGCCCTACGAGGACTACTTTGACCACCTCGACCGCGCCGGCGGCTTCTTCTACGAGCGCTGGGGCGACGCCCCCGTCCACAGCATCGCCCTCGGCCTGTTTGAGGACGCGAGCCGGCTTCACTGGTGGGATCCCTGTCTTTTTTTCTTTTTTTTTTTTTGGTATCATGGTACTCACACAGCACAGGTTCCGCGACATTGGCTACCAGCACATACCCTTCTTCAACTGCCCCAACTCGCCCAAATGCCGGGGCTGCAAGGCCGGCAAGTTCACGGACGGCGAGAACTGGCTGCACCGGGAGGACTGCAGGCCCAACTGGTTCAAGTATGTCGGCATGGGTTGAGCGGGCTCTCGACCTGGTGCGATGCTGCCAGCCTTTTCTTTTCTTTTTTTTTGTCATTCTTCGTGTATACCAGCTTGGTTTGCGCTTTTCTGGAGTACCGGCATTTTAGAAGGGGACAAGGGGGGTGTCTGGCGTCCATTCCCCCGCTGCATAGGAAGTTTGCAGTTGGGGCACTCGAGG